AAATGAGGAGCTGATACCAAGGGCTCAAGTAGAAAGCAAATGTTTTGAGAATGATGATGGCAACAAATGTACAAATGTGCTTGACACAATGGATGGTTGCATGGATTGTGATAAGAGTTATACGAGCCCCCAATAAAGTGATTTATTAATTTAAAAAAATTGGAAAGAAAAAAAAACCCAGCAAAGCCTCTCATTAAGAAGCTACCCAGGGCCAGGAGGCCATTGATTATTAAAAAATGGTGGCAGAAATGAAGCTGGAGATCCCATGATAGAATTTTGCAAAATGAGCGACCTGTTCATAGCAAATACCTTTTTCAACAACAGTAACAGTGACGATATACATGGACTTTTCCAGATGGAAAACACAGAAATCAGTGGAACTAAATCGGGGGTAAGAGGCCCCGGAGAAGCTCAACATTAGCAGCCAAAAGGAGGTCAAGGACTGAGTGTGGAACAGATCATCAACTGCTCATATGTAAGTTCAGGTTGAAGTTGAGGAAAATTAAAACAAGTCCACAAGGGTCAATCTGGAGTTTATCCCACCTGAATTTTGAGAGGCTCTCAAGAACAGAATTGCTTCTGCACACTGATGACAGAAGACCTGATGAGCTGTGGGAGGATGTCAAGAACCTCACTCATGAAGAAAGGAAAAGGCTGTAAAATCAGGGAAGAAAGAAAAGCTCAAATACTCATAGACGGCAGAAGAAGAGGCTCTCAATCATAGCGTAGTGAAGGCAGATGGAAGAAAGGATGATGTCCAGAAGCTGAACAGAAATTTCAGAGGGCAGCTCGAGAAGGCCAAGTCAAGTCTCATAACGAAATGTGCAGATTTAAAGTAAGAACACCCAAAAGGAAGACCACTCTCAGCATGTCTTAAACTGAAAGGAAGAGACAATTCAAGCCCCGAGTTGCAATATTAAAAGATTCTATGGGTCAAATACTGAATAATGCAGAAAGCATCACAAGAAGGTGGAGAAAATACCCAGAGCAACTGTACAAAAAAGAGCTAGTCAACAGTCCACCATTTCAGGAGGCAGCATGAGCAAGAACCAATGGTGCAGAAGGTAGAAGTTCAAGCTGCACTGAAACATTAGCCCAAAACCAGTCTCCAGGAATGGATGGAATACAAATTGAAATGTTTCCACAAGCTGATGAAGCACCAGAAGCACTTACTTTCCTATGCCAGGGAATTTGAACGACAATCTACTTGGCCAACTGACTGGAAGAAATCTATATTGGTACCCATTCCAAAGAAAGGTGACCCAATGGAAAGCACTAATTATAGAACAGTCATTGCTACAACATGCAAGTAAATTTTTGCTGAAGATAATCCAACGAAAGTTCCAGCAGTGTATTGCCAGGGAACTGCCAAAAGTTCAGTCCATATTCAGAAGAGGACTTGGAAAAAGGGATCTGATATCAGATGGATCTTGATTGAAAGCAGAGAATACCAGAAAGATGTTCAGTTGTGTTTCATTGACTATGCAAAGACATTCGATTATGTGGACCTACCAAACTATGGATAGCCTTGAGAAGAATGGGAATTCCCCAGAACACTTCATTGTGTTCATGCAGAACTTATACATGGATCAAGAGGCAGTTGTGCTTACAGAACAAGGGAACACGGCATGGTTTAAAATTAGGAAAGGTGTGCTTCAGGGTTGTATCTTCTCCCCAAACTTGTTCAATCTGTATGCTGAGCAAATCACCGGCGGAGTAGCTGGATTATATAGAGAACAATGCAGCATCAGGATGGGAGGAAGGCTTATTACAAACATGTAATACGCAGATAACACAACCTTGATGGCTGAAAGTGAAGAGGACTTGAAGCAGCTGCTGATGAAGATCAAGGACTGTAGCCTGCAGTATGAATTACAACTCAGTGTAAAGAAGACCAACACCCAGCTGTTTCCCAATGGAAACAACAGGTGACATCCTGATAAATGGAGAAAAGGTTGACGTTGTCAAGGATTATATTTTATATGGATCCATAATCAATGCTCATGGAAATGGCAGTCGAAAGATCAAAAGGTGTTTGCATTGGGTAAATCAGCTGCACAAAACCTCTTTCGAGTAGTGAAGAGCAAGGATGTTATTTTGAATACTAAGATGCACCTGACGCCAAACCACGGTGTACGCCATTGCACCATATGGCTGTGAAAGTTGGACGATGAGTAAGGAAGACTGAAGAAGAGCTGCTGCATTTGAACTGTGGTGCAGGAGAAAACTACTGAAAGTACCATGGACGCTAAAAGGACATACTAATCTGTCGTGGAAGAAATAAGACGAGTGGTCCTTAAAGGTAAGGATGACAGGACTTCTTACAGACGTTGGGAGTACTGTCAGGAGAGACCAGTCCCTGGAGACGGACATCATGTCGGATACAGTGGAAGGGCAGTGAACAAGAGGAAGGCCTTCCCTGAGATGGACTGCATCACATAAGAACCATTGTGAGGATGGCATAGGGCCGTGCAGTGTTTGGTTCTGCTACGCACAGGCTCGCTAGGGGTCGGAGTCAACTTGACAACACCTAACAGCAACAACAACACACTTAGTACATCTACACACACACACACAGTATAGAGAGTAAAACACAAAAATATCAAAAACAGTTGCCTCTAGGGAGGTAATAGGAGACTAGGCAAACGGATTCATGGCAGGTACAAAAAGATTTATACATTACTTTAGCTTTTTTATTTTGTTTTCTTTCAGTATTTTAAAAAATAACTTTGTTACTTTTTAACAGAAAGTAGATTGTAAAAATGCTCAAACATCAAATATAGTGGTAATATATAGGAAACTTCCTTTACATTATTTTAGAAAATAAAATATCTTTCACATAAATCTGTAGTTAGCTTTTCAAACATCTATTATAGTCCAGTGGTAGTATGATAAATTATGTGTATATATCTATGTATATGTTACATATATGTGCCATTATACGTATGTATATATATGTGTGTATTCTTTTTTTTAATATCAGAAAGATTTCATACCAGGTTCATGAGGCAAAGCATGTTGAAGAACGTTTTCGGCTCTTTCACACATTTTCAGTTTTAGTAAAAGCTCAGCCATGTCACAGGCAAGATAATTATGTTGTCCATTTTTCAGAGCAGTCTCATAGTAAGTGATTGCCTAAACAAAACCAGTTTCAGTTAGAAAAATGGTAATTATGGCATTCAAGAGTATATATTTTATTCATTAGACTGAAAGTATTTACATAATTGGAAATAAAGGAGGTTGATCTTAGGCATGTGTAGCCACATGTATTTAATGCGGCTCTTCCAGCCAAAGTCTCTACCTCCCCCCCAAAGACCTTTTTCTGTATGGTTCTTGTAAGATGGTGGGAGAAGATCCTGACAGGATTCACTTATGAGTAACTGTGAATAGGCTTCCCTGGAGTGCCATCTTCCTGCTTATAAAATGAGCCCTCTGAGAAGCAGAGGAGGGACCTGATTACCAGCAGGAGTCAGGAGTGTGCCCTTCTGGACCTGAGACCTCTAAGCAGTGAACCTCCTGGTTGGAGAAGACAGCTATACCATTAGAGGAGCAGCAGCAGAACCAGGAGCCAGAGTGGTGGACCTCCCAACCCACAGATCGAGTACAGCCGAGGGCTTTAGTACAGGAGGCTGGCTTGTGGAGTAGGGTACCTCTGGGTCCTTCACTGGGCAAGCTGGGCTGGCTGACCCACGAGTGGAGCTGAGTGCCTTCTGGCTGAGGTTAACTGGAGTCAGATACCTCCACGTAGTTAATTCAGGGAGCTGGGTTTGCTGGCCCCAGGGAACGGAAGCCAGATGCCTTAGGTTGAGGTTCAAATTAGGGTGGTAGGCCCTTCGGGCATTTAATTGCAACCTGTTAGAACTTTGGCAAACTTTGTGGCAAACAACTATCCCAAACATTTCTCACAGGTATTACAATCTGTGGACTTCCTTCCTAAGTCCTTTAATTTTGAATTTTGTCTGTGTTCTGCGTAGCCATTGTGATGGATATTAGAAAGTAGAGAACACTAATTAAGGTGACACAGCACACGCCTCCATTACAAGTGAAGTAGGACAATTTTCTTAGAGAATCAATGACCGCATAGGACAACTAACATTTCTTACAACAACTGGTTAAAAGACAGGGCTAAGCAAGCAGACAGGCTTTATTACGAGGGCCAGTGAGCCTTCTCAAAGCCAATGGTGACCGGGATTGGATGAAAAACAGGAACATCCATTTTTTTCTACTAGGGAAAGACATAAACACGAAGCATCTGGCTTTCTAAACTTCACTCAAAAAGGGCATCCATGAAGCCTCCTCCTACAATGACAGGAGTGTCAAAAAGGCAACTGCATGGTCACTGACTGGGTACCGTGGACGGAGGTACCAGGTAGAGTCAGAATTAGACGGTGGGGTTCAAGCAGTCTGCACAGCGACATCTGAGAAAGCCTGCAATGCAAAGTGTCAGTCGGTTTGCGTCAGGATCAAAGATAAACGCAGCCCTTGCTGAAAACTTCCCATAGAGCAGTTTATTAACAGATAGGGAGTTATGAGAGATATAGAGAATGGACGTATTTCAAAGTATAAAATGCCTACCTTTGAATAGTTGTGGGTTTTGACGAGAGCTTTCCCAATTTTCCTTGCCACAGTTCCATCCTTTGGATTCTGATTCAATGCTTGCTCATATGCTACGATGGCTTCTTCAGGCTAATATCGGCAAGCAAATAGGCAATCATTAAATAGCTTTCACTGGATCTCATTAAATGGCAACATTTCCATACAGAAGTTCTCTATTTGAAATACTTTGTAAAACTAATCAGGCAACCCCCCAATTTCAGAGTGACCCTAGTGTCCAGGGTGGGTAGAGTAACTGAGTAGTATAATCCTCACTCACATTCGTCATGCCCAGCTTTCAGAGACAGCATTTGGGCTCTTTACTTCTAGCAGTTGCGGGAAAGTCAGATACAGTCAAAGAGAACTTTTCCCAGTCTGGGTAAGAAAATCCCATCGTACCGGGAGCTCTCCAAGTCTGCTTACAGGAGCCTCCTAACACGCGTCTCATACACCTCTACATCGAACAGTCAGAGAGCTAAATTACTGGATTTCAACTTGCGAAGGAAAAAAAACTGAATGTTTCATTGTAAAAACTGCCTTTCACCTTGAAGATGTTATCATCAGATACTAAGTAAACATTATAAAAAATAAATTCCTTTTCATGGACTATTATAATGACCATACTAATCATGAAGAGGAGTCTTGAAATCTTCTTTTAAAACAAAAATGCTCTAAGTAAAGTAGCATCAGAAGCAGTACCTCTTGAATATTCATGTAGGCGTCACCAAGGAGGAGGAAGGACCGGGGGCAGGGCAGTCTCTCCGCCATCTCTCTGGAAATCAGATCAACTCTACTTAGTACATTACACAGAAGCATCTTCTGCTGAACCAATAAAATAAAAAGCTCATTTGTCAATTAACTGATGGCCTTCAAAGTACCATCTACATATATGCTAGTGCAATATTGTTTAAAACAAAACACACTCATATCCACACCCACAGGTTGATTAGGGTTTTCCAGGAAGCATTTGCATTTTCTGAAATGAAGGGTAACAGACTGCACGTAGACAGTAAAAACCTAACTTATGATTATCCAGAAAAGAATCTTTTATGCCATGTTTAGTCTTGACGTGATATAGTAATAAAGGTTTTTTAAAGTAAGGGATATAAAAAAGGACTATCTGGACAAACAACAGAAAAGTGGGTGAAGGGTAACAGAGGGCAATGTAAGATAGAAAAATAATAAGCTATAACTTATCGAGGGTTCACGAGGGAGGGAAGGGGGGGAGGAAGAGGGAAAAATGAGGAGCTGATACCAAGGGGCTCACGTAGAAAGAAAATGCTTTTTAAAAATGATGATGGCAACAAACGTACAAATGTGCTTGATACAATGGATGAATGTATGGATTGTGATAAGAGATGTAAGAGCTCCCAATAAAAGTATTTAATTTAAAAAAAAGTACTATCCTTCCATCTGGAGCTCCATTATTTTTCAAATAGATTATATTCCAAAGTGGGTTCCATACACAATAGAAAATCTCCTCATTCACTATGTGCTTGTTTTTTATCTACAAAATTCACATTTCTAAGACTCTTCCTCCTCTGGTCAAGATACCAAAGTCACTCAAATAATCCTGTGGCACGAGGTTCTTACCATACAGTATCTCACCTAAATGGTCCCAAACCTCTTATGAGAATGATACCCCAATTTTAACAATGAAGCTAAGGGTTCAAACCTTACCTGTAAAGGTAGTTTTCAGACTTGGCTGAAATAAAACCATACGATTTTACCTACTACATTTGATTGTGTCAGAAACAATCCAACAATAGAGTAATGTATTTTCACATCATGAAAGCGATGTTGGTTAGTACTTGATCTGTTGGGAACATCTCAGAAAATGCCATCTGAGAACCCACTCATCCATCTACATGTGGGCGCTGCTCAGCTGCTCAGCATCACTCAGAATCTACAAAGAATCTGAGTGTGGATATTTACTTCAGACTTGCACAGGTGAACCACGAAGGAAGAGGAAACAAAGGTTTTCAGGGTCTAGAAACAGCATTTGATGAAACCCGAGGAAGCAAAGTAAGACACAGACACAAAGCTGAAGTCATTATAACTATGTCTTATAAAGAGTGATTTGGTTGGTGGTCAGAGAGGCAAGGGCACATAAGGCAAAGATCTGTGAAGTATCCACAAAGCAATGAGCAGAAACACAAAAAATGAAGCTGGAAACTAATACTACCCACCGCCATCGAATCAAGTCTGATTTTTCACAATTATGGGGTTTCTGAGACTCAGTCAATCCCTAGGGGAGCAGACAGCCTCATCTTTCTCCCCAAGAGGGGCTGGTGGGTTAGAACTGTGGCCTCGGAGCTCCCAGTCCAAGGCTTAGCCAATGGTATACCAGGGCTCCATTTGTCAGGAGGTAAAATACATCATGCTATAATTTGTTGAAATAAAATTTACCTATAACAAGTGATATAGAGCATTTTCTCTTTTCTGTACTTGAGATAAATATCTGCCATTTTTTCTTTGGCTTCTATGAAATACGGTTGTTGAGTTGTAACATTTCGAAGCATGCTTAAGGCCCTCTCAATATCTCCTTGGGCCAGAGCGAGGTCTGCGTTAGCCATCGTAACACGCAATTCTTCAGATGTTCCTGAAAATTCATGGATGGCATCTTGTAAAACTTTTGCTGCCTCATGCTACAAGGATAAAATTGAAATATTTATTCAAAGCAATAAGCCAATTAATTACCCTCTAATAATACAGACTCAACAGCAAACACTAGAATAGTTTTCATATTTGTAAGACAAACTTATAGGAGTTTTGAAAGTTAAATATTGAAATCTAAAATCAGAAAATGAATTTAGATGAAACTATAACTATTTGTTAACTAGTAAACAAGTAACGAGGAAATAAGCTACTTCGGACCTGTTACTAATATAATTGGCTGAGCAAAATATTTCCTTTGTGCTAGGCATTGTCCTACCCCATTTAATTCCACGACAACCCTGTTGTTGTGGTTATGATCATTAGCTCCATCTTATGGTAAGGAAACTTGAATTTTGAAGAGTTAAAAAGTGAACAAGTGAAGAGAACTAGAATGTGAACTCAGGCAGCTTGATTCTAAAGCCCCAATTCTTAGGAAGGTCTGTAATGCCCTTTCACCCTCTGTGATCACTAACTCTTCATTATAAATAGAATATGACTATTCCTGCCACCACAAAAACCTTTTATGATGCCTCAAGTGGAAAATGAGTTTATTTCTATACCTAAAATGTTACTTATCTTAAAACTTAACTTAAGATATTAGGCATTCTACCTTCAAGAATATTAAAATGTAAAAAAAAAAAATACATCTTTGAATTGCCTATAGTACTGATCCAATTTATTCCATGTGTTTTATTTTGATTTGTTCTAGCCTATCATTTAGGGTCTCTCGGGTCAGCACTGACTTGATGGCAGTGAGTTAGGTTTCGGTTTGGTTAGTGATGAAATTGAAATTCCACATGAGTAAAGAAATCGAAATTCCATGTGATTTGACAACTAGAAATTGATGACCTTCTCAATTTCTATTGAAATATGGAAAGAAAATTAACAACTAATATAAATAAACCAAAAGGTGTTGTTAAGTTCCCTGTTTTCCACAAGGCTTTTTCTCAGAATTACCTCTCTCTCTATATATATATATATAGATTATATACACACACACACACACACACACACACACATACACACACACACGCACATATTTATGTGTGTGTATCTCAGATCTCATGGCCATTAAGTCTCTATCACCTCATAGAGACCCTATAGAGATATTTTGAAGCTGTAAATCTTTACAAGGGCAGAGAGCTGTTTCCAAATGATGAGCTTGCAGTTAGCAACCACACACGTAACCCACTCTGTCAGTAGGGCTTCCTGTGTGTCTATGTGAGGGCGTGTGTGTGAGACTCCTTTTGGAAGCGCCCAGTGACAACAGAGTGTTGCTGTCTCAGAGCAGTCAAGGTGAATCATGCTGATAGTTAAAGCCATTTATGAAGTAATTTATGTCTACCTTACAGGTGCTGGCAGAAAGCACATTTCCGCTCAAAGTATAACAAATAAATTTTCTACACTTCTTCACTTTAGTCAAGGGAATAACTTCAGCTTTTTCAGCACCTACCAATATATAAACTGGAATAACAGAGTTATTATATATATATATATA